CCCAGCTTAGCTTTGAATTGTCCTTAGCTATCAGGCAAGTTCCATCTTTTGCTGTTTGCCAGTCAACAACATAGATGTTCTTCCTTCTCTTGGCTGTAAGAACCACTTCTTTGGTTGTCTCATGCTTGACATAGCATAAGGTCTTGGTGAATTCAACTGTGTAGCCTTTGTCACAGAATTGACTAGCACTCAGCAAGTTAAACTTCAGACCTTTGACATATGAGACATCTTCAATGATTATCTGGTTCTTGATCAGCTTCCCTCTTCCTTTTGTTTGCCCTTCCTTGTCATTTCCACCGAAAGTGACTCTGGGTCCATTGATTTTCTGGAACTCTGATAGGCAACTCTTGTCACCTGTCATGTGTCTGGAGCATCCACTGTCAATATACCATTCTTTTTCTGAGATGGCTCCAGCACACAGTTCCTGCAAGATTAAAAGGAAGATTTAGGTACCCAAGCAATGTTGGGTCCTGGGGGGTAATGCAGTCTCGGTAGTTGGTACCATTTTGGTCTCATCAGCTGAAACCTTGGTGGATGGTACCCATTGTCCACCTGGTAGTTGTAGTAAACAGATGTATGATTCACTTTGGGCAGATGCTTGTGAGGATCATGCTTTCTGTTTGCATACTTCTGCATAGCCTTCTTTGTTGGAAAGAAGTCCCATATACTATCAAGATCAGATGAGCGCTTAACTTTAGGCTTCTGAGGTTGACCAGACAACCTCTTCTGCCTATAGTTAATCTTCTCTTGATATCTGCCTTTCTGATAGCAGTTTCTGATACTGTTGTCATGAGATTGTCTGATGAAGTTAGGCCTTTGATTATTATTTTTCTGAAAACTTTTCCTTTGATTAGAGTTTCTGCCATATTCATTAGTTTTCAAACTTTGTTTTGGTTTGGCCTTTAGAGTTTGTTTCTCTGGTATGACCTTCTCATGAACAACTTTAGTACCAGAAGTACTAGCATGGCAACTGGGGCTCAGAGTCTGTGGCACTATGACCTTTTTAGCCTTAGCAACTTGGGTGCTAGGCCTTACAGAAGGCTCACCAGACTCTGGTTCAACATATCCAAGACCAGAGGTGAAGTTATGAGAGTCACCAATATTCTTCATGGAAGATTGCATCTTCAGAAGACTATTATATCTACTCTCAAGTTCCTCAATGTCTCTTATTCTTTTCAGAAGAGACTCATTTTCAGCTTTCAGTCTATCTCTTTCCTCAGTTAAGAAATTAAGTTTACACTCAGTCTCTTTCCTTAGATTAGAGATATCAACTTTCAGCCTACTGTTCTCTTCTTTAACAAAAGAATAAGTGGCTTGGATAGTTTGGAACTCTTCCCAGAATGATGACATTGGATCATCATTTAAGGCTGTGCCTACCGAAGAAGAAATAGAATCAGAAGTAGAGCATACCTCATCATCTGATTGTGCCATGAGGCAGAGGTCTTCAGTTTCTGCATCCAAGCAGCAGAATGCTTCATCAGAGTCGGAGTCTGAGCTGGACTCTGATTCAGAGAGTGGATCTCTCTGAGCTTGTTCTGAGACAAATGCTCTTCTTCTTCTGTGTTGATCATCTGGTTTCTTTTCATCTTCATGTCCTTGCTTCTTGGACACTCTTGGATAGGGGCAGTTTGCTTTGAAGTGCCCAGGCTGTCTGCAGTTGTAGCAGAGGTACTCTCCATTGCTTTCAGAAGATTTGGTCTTCTGATGTGGTCTTCTGATGGAAGATGGACTCCTTCCATCTTTCTTCATAAACTTCTTAAATTTTCTGGCAAAAGCAGCCATATACTCATCAGATAAGAGAGTAGAAGGGTCAAAGTCACTTACCTTAGAGGTACTGGCAGTGAGAGCAGTGGTGGTCCTTTCATCAGGAGCTTCTTCCTTCTCTTCATGCATCTCAAACTCATAAGCCTTGAGATCAGAGATGAGTTTCTCAGTGGCATAAGTCTTGATGTTCTTGCTTTCCTGGACTGCAATCACTTTCATCTTCCAAGCTGAAGGCAGTCCCCTGAGGATCTTCATGTTGACTTCTTTGATAGTGAGTTCCTTTCCAAGCTCAGAAATCTCACTAATGAGAATCAGCAGTCTCTCATGCATCTTAGCAATGCATTCTTCTGGCAGAAGTTTGAAGTCATCAAACTTCTTCATAGCAATGGTCAACTTGTTATCTCTTTCTTGTTCATCTCCTGCTCCAATCTCATCCAGCTTATCCCAGATTTCTTTGGCAGTTCTGCACTTCTTGATTCTGTTGAAGTATCTTTCATCAATAGCCTTGTAAAGGATGTCCTTGGCTATATTATCTAGGTTGTACTGCTTTTTTTCTTCCTTGGTCCATTCTGACCGGGCTTTCTCAATCATCTGGGGCTGAGAGTTATCAATGGAGTGAGCAGGATTGATCTTCATGAACTGGATAAAGGGGCCATTTTCCAAGACTTCCCACATTTCATCATGAAGGGCACATAGATGTGCCTTCATTCTGATCTTCCAATCATCATACTTCTGATCTGTGAACATAAGATGCTTTGCAAGAGAATTATCCATTATAATAATAAATAAATAGAGGCTAAGAACAAGTGGATCTTTGTTCAGAGAGTAACCTAAAAGATTACAAGAACAAGGAGGCTCTGATACCACTTGTTGGTCCCGTTAAATATGGTAATCAGTCTAGAGGGGGGGGGGTGAATAGACTGATTGGTTTTTCAACTTTTTCTCAAAGTCAAAACTGACTTATCAGAGAAGGTCTGATTCTGATGACAGAGAAAGGCTGGTTCTGATATCAGAACTGGCCTTGGCAGCGGATTCTGATCTGTCCGGGTAGCCTCAAAAATACTAAGGCAAATGCCTTTCTGATAACTCTGAAAACAGGATCTGCTGAACACAGATTCCAAGTCTTAGAGTTAGTCAGTTAATATCCTAAGTGCAGAAATATAAATTGCAGTAAAGTAAATGACACCGGATATTTTTATAGTGGTTCAAGGAACAACACGTTCCTCTAGTCCACTGTTCCACTAGCTTTGAAGTAGATCGGTTACAAAGCTAAATCCTAGCACTTAAGAAGTTCTCCACGCCTTCTTCAAGTCTAGCTGCCACCCAGGATGCAGTTCCACGTCCTGATGGCTGATCCTTTCACTCAGCTTCCCGGAAGTATCACCACTTCACTACTGCAGTTACTTGGACGCCCTTCTTTTCAGAAGATCCTTTGAAAAACAGAGTTTTTCCTCCAACTTGCTTCGTTACAAATGATGTTTGATGAAGTTCTTGAAGTGTTGAAGAACAGGATGAACTTTGCTTGTTTGTTGGGGATGAAAGATTTGGAGTTTGAATCTTCCCAACGTAAGCTTGTCTTGTTGAAGGTTGTAGAATTTGAATCTCAAGAGAGCTTGAATGATGAGCAAAAGTTGTAGCAAAGTTGTTTTTCTGTTCTTCGGTGTGTAGCTTATATACTGAGGTTGTCTGCCCGTTGGAGGAGGAGACAACTGCATTAAATGCGCGTACTGTTGACTTGACCGCCGTTTTGGAAGGTTTCTATTTTTATAATATATCTTCCCGGATTCCTTGGTTAATCATTTGCAATCAATCCTTCAGCGTATCAGGCTCATTTAATGTGCATTAAATGCTTTCCTTTCATGCACAGTCTTCTAGCCGTTGGATGTTTTACCCGTTGGATTCATAGCTGTTGGATGTTGCATGAAATCTTCTAAGTGTTAGTCGGGCTCTGATCAGGATCTTCTGATGTGTTGGATTCTGATGGCTTTCTGAGTTCTGATGGCTTTCTGATGAGTTGAGTTCTGATGGCTTTCTGATCTCTGACTGAACTCTAACTCTGACTCTGATAGGTCCGCTGATGAGTACCTCTGATCTGTAACTCTCATCGGTTATCAGATGTCCAAATTTATCAGCAACTCTCATGGTGCAACTCTGATGGACTTCCGGTAAGAGAACTCTGATGGAGCAGTTCTCATAGAGCAAGTCTGGTCGAGCAGTTCTGATGCACTTCTGATCTGATCCAAAACTGAGCAACTCTGATCGTCGACTACACTAATACTTACAACTGAAAATTCTAATACATAAAATCTAATTTGGGGGTACTCTAACTTTCTAATCCTATAGCATCATCAAAATCTAATTACATTTATTCCTTACAATATTTCCCAGACTGTAATGGTTGACTCCATTTTCGACGGATGATTTCCGCAAAGATAGATGCTGGAGAATGGCTGAAGAATGAAATTGAAGAAAACACCTTTTAAGGATGATTTTTGGGCGGACGATATCGGTGACGTTGATTTCAGCAAAGATGGCTGAACCTAACATTGAAGAACGAAGTTGAAGGAGGCTATAGTGACCGATCTATTTCCGGGTAGATGATTTCCCAAAGACCTTGCTTCCATTTGGGGAGAAGAAAGAAGTCAAGAACCTAGAGAAACGGAAGGTAGGAGTAGGTTTCCGATGCAAGGCTAGAAGCCGTCGATTCATTTTATTGGAATCGGACGGATGATATGAGAAGTTTGTATGAGCGGGAAACTCATTTCTAGAATTGTAGTGCTATTAAGGAGAAGATTTGTACACATTTGTAACTGAACCGAATGTTACCTCTTTCCTGAATGATAAAGAGTCCGTTTGGTAGCACCAAAATCGGCTGTTTTGGCTGATTCTGCTGAAATTTATGATATTCTAGCTGGAGTGGCTGTTTTGGCTGATTCTGCTGATTTAAGAAAAAATTATTTTAAAAATATATTTTATTAATAAATTAAAGAAAAAATTATATGTAAAAATAGCTAAAATGGTCCTCTACAGTAACTTCAGCCAATACAGCCAGAAAAGTAACTACAACCTTACTTTTTCGGCTTATTACACAATTCAGTGCGCGAAAGTAAAAGTTACGTGTTTGGTGAAAAAGCTGGCTGATAAGCCTGATAAGCCGAAAACAGAGTTCTCCAAACGGGCTCAAAGAGTAACATTTCCTCCTTAATAAGAGTAGCATCCGTCCATCTTCCTCCCCCTTCGTCATTGATATAGCTTGGAGCCACTGTAGGGTCGGTTTCAACCTGGAAATCAGAAAAGCCATTCTCCAAAGCAAACATCGTGGCTATAATAATGGCGAATAACTCTGCTTCAAGACTCGATAGCGGAAAGGACAGAGCAAAAACAAGCTCCTCTTCGGCGTTCCTCATAATCACACCACCGGCCACTTGATTAGGTAAGAATTTCGCATCTGTATTTAATTGAACTTCTTGCTTGGTTTCCTCCATTTTATTAGTTGAAACCTAAAATTAGATAGCCTGAAATTCAAAGGGATCGGATTCTCCTCTCTTAGTATATCACTGACAGAGTGTAGATTCAGTTTCGATAAACTCGAACTCCAAGCTTGAGTGTAAACTTCAATCTGGGAAATGATGTTATCAGAAGTAGGTATCGAGCCACCAGTACCCTAAATTTGGTTAGCAGAGAGGCCCATGTACTAACAAAAAAAGGTTAAATAAGCCCTTATTTAGGAGGTTCTGTCCGGCCGTCGTCATTTGGTGTGGTTCCCGGTAGAATTTTTTGATGAAATTTTTTGATCATCTTATTCATCAAGTCTAGTTTACTCATACCAAATTTCAGCTAAAACTTCAATCGGGAAGGCATTCAAATGAATTCTTGAAAATAACTGCACAGTTAGAAGCGCAGTTATCTTCAAGAATTCATTTAAATGCCTTCCCGATTGAAGTTTTATTTGAAATTTGATATGAGTAAACTAAACTTGACGAATAAGATGCTCAAAAAATTTCATCAAAAAATTCCACTGGGAACCCCTCCAAATTTCGACGGCTGGACAGAGTCTCCTAAATAAGGGCTTATTTGACCCTTTTTTGTTAGTACATGAACCTATTTGCACCTTTTCCCATCTTATAATACCGGGTAGGTTGTCTTTAAAAATATCAATTAACTTTCTACTACCTGCTCTAGGCCACCAAGCCATAAAGATTTGGCAAATATTATGGATAGTTGATGAGTATGACATTTCCAAAATATCCATAACATACCTCCAAATAGGCCTTACTCTCAAAATAATTCACATTTATGTAATTCTAGAATAGAATAATCACACTTTATCACGTGTCTTCTTTGGTTAGTGACTTATGACATATTCTTCTAGATATCTTCTTATTTTTCTTCTTTTCAGCTAATTTCTTTCTCATATATCCATTTTCGTGTAAAGTGGAAATAAAAAGTAAATATAAAAAAAATAGAGTGGGAGAAAGATACTACTATTTTATAAAAAGAGAATGGTTAAAAAGATACGGAGTACATAATTAAGGAAATTAAATGATGATGAAGGAAGAGGAGAAGGAGAAGAGGAAGAGGAAGAGGAAGAGAAAGAGGAAGACGAAGAGAAAGAGGAAGTCCAAGGAAAAATGAATGAGACTGTTTTGAGAAGATTTGTGGAAGGTGGAATTATGAATCAATCTGGGTCAATAAAAAAGGTTGGTGAAAAGTTGGGATTATTCTGAGATTTTGTAAATGTGAATTTATTTTGAGAAGACAAATGAAATGTTGGATTATTGTTGTCAATTTTTTCAACTAATAATCCACAAAAATCAATTTTTTTTAAGAAAAGATTTTTTTTTACAACTCAAAGGAAACTACAATAGCTAATAAAAGATTCGTTAATGAGGGGTAAATGCTAAGAGATTTAAATTAAACTATTGAAAAGAAAATATTCAGTTTCTCATGTGCGATAAAAAACTTTTAATATCAAAAAAAGTATATTTGGAGCTTTAAATATTGGGAAGACGATCATATCAAAATTAATTATTCAAAGATGTATCATGTATGATCATGTAAAGTAGTTGGGATGGTTAAACTACATTTCCAAATAAATTTTTATTTGTTCTTAGTCCATGAAAAATAACACATTTTGTTTTAATCATCGCAAAATGAAATTTTCATCATTGTAATGTATATTGTTTTAAGGATGTTTTTATTGACTAGAATTTGTTTGTTTTGTTTAAGTTTGGTATGGTCTCAACGGGTAATGTTTATTCTTTGTATATTTTATAACTAAGGAAGTCTATTTTGATCTAGTCTATTTAAGTCTGGTCTAATCTGATCTGTTTAAGTTTAATCTGGCTTGGGACTGAAAACAGTCTAAGTAAAAAACATCCTTAGTTCTTTAACTTTGGGATAATCTTCATTTAGAAAAATAATGCAGCGAGGCCTAAAAATAAAAAATGGCATTAATTAAAGAGTTGGAAATTAAAAAATATATACTTCCTCCGTTGTTTTTTTATTGCAATGGTCAACATTTCACACTTGTCAACGCACATTTTTTACCGTAATTATTACTCCCCCCGTCCCTGAAACAACTTCCCACTTTCGTTATTTGGATGTCCCTAATTTAACTTCTCATTTCTTTAAATGACAAGTTATCTACATCAAAAAAGTATCAAACAATGCCAAACAGTGTCGAAACAGTGTCAAAACAACAAAATTTACCCCTGGTAAGTTTATTTCCTAAATATGTGTGTAGGTCAAACCAGGGGCGGATCCAGGATGTTTAGTGGTTGGGGGCACATGTTAAGAGAAAATAAGACATTTTTTTTGTATAGTTAAGTATAAGTTAAGTCCAAATGATGAATTAATTCAACATTAGAACATTATAAAAAATTACATTTTGTTACATCGGCTCTCTACGAGTTTTATTTTGTGAAAAAAAAATCATCACAACTTTATTTCTAACTATATCAAACACATCCTTTTCAACATAGCAAATAAAATACAAACAAAATACTTTGTGTCTTTGTCCTCTTTTAGACTACATTTCAATCGGATTCGGATCCTCCGCCTTGCTCTAAAGCAAGGCAAGGTGTCTGGCTCTTCCGGACCCCTCGATCGGAAGTTTGACGATTGAAAATCTTAGACTTCACCCCTCGTCCAATCTCGAGGTCGTCCTCATCGCTTCCCTGTTGTCGGATGCCGCAAGGCACTCTGCCATATGGCATTTCAATCAGCTCTCACATTGATGAAATCAAATTCTTATAAATATTTTGAGTGAATATCTACTACTTGAAACATTACAATTTAACATTTGAACGTTCTCCAACACATTTTAAATGAATATGTAGTATTTGAATAATGTTTTTCTTTTAAAGTATCTCGTTAAAGTTGTTTAATACTACGTATGTCCAAATATATTTCATTTCAAAATTATACTTACGAATATTAAATTAGAAAGCATTATCTTAAAACTAAATTAAATTAGGTATAAACTAAAAAAAATAGATATGAACTAATTTATCAATTTATAAATATGTTATTAAAATCACAACTAAGTAGCAAAATAGTAAAAACAAAGGGTAGTAGAAAGGTATTGACCTGGGAATTTTTTATTGGAATGTAGAAGAAAATTTTATTTGGTACTTCATGAATGACCTTCTGAATTCTCACTTGACAATAACCAATTATATTGCTCCCTAAGTTATTTTGTTTGTTGACTTCTTTCATAATTAATTAATTAAAACACTATGTATAATAGGTCTAAATGATACGGGTAGAGAGTTGAGGATTAGGAAATTGAAAGATAGTAATGTTCAGAAATATAGTATTATTATTGGGGGCACCTTTTATTTTTAGGTGACAACTCCGGTACCCTTTTAAAAAATGGGGTACCGTACCTACCATTCATTTGATTGGACCACATCATTTTATCGTTTTTAATTTAGATTTAAATAATTCAACTGCAACATTATCATTGGTCCATGTGGACAAAGGTATGGTACCTTATAATAGACTAATATATTTAGGAATCTGCCTAATATCTATTTAGAAATACTTTGATTTTGAAAACTCTTCTATTATAAATATATCTGTCAGGACTCCTATTGGATTACCCTTTCCCATTATTTCACATGGTATCAAGAGCTCTAGGTTTTTAGACACATTTTTTCTCTCTTTTTTTTTTCCGGTTCCCATGAACCCTAGTACAGCCGCTGCCGCCTCGGGGTCGATTGATGCCACATCTACGGCATTCTCCGAGCCTTTGAGGATGAGCGCGACTGATATGGCGCAGATCATCTGGTCCGCGTCGCTGACCACGGTGTTTGCTTCCAGCGTACCGTTGAGTTCACCGCCTGCTGCTGCCTATGTCCGCGCACCCCACCTTTTCTTCGTCGCTGACCACGGTGCTTGCTTCAAGCGCGCTGTTGAGTTCGCCGCTTGCTGCTGCAGACATCTATTCTCATGGAGATCTCATTGTCAAAGATGTGCCTTCTAATCTTCCGGGAAGTTGTTTCGGGGACGGTGATAGTATATCTTAATCTCTATTAGTAAAAAAATATAAAAAACAGATTTTGAAAATTTGTAATGAGATGAATTGAACAATATTTTTTTAAAAAAATAATTCTCATAAAACAATAGCATAAAATGTAGTCAAAGTAAAACATGTGAATAATGTAAAATTCAACATGTTGCGATAAAAAAACAGATGATAATATATAATTTACAACTTAAAATAAGACACTATTTTTACAAAAACTAACAACATGATTGAGCCTTTCAAATATTGTGAAAGCTTATGGACTAGAATCCTCATTGCCTGTTTTGGTCACTTTTTAAGCCTTTCAAAATTGTGGTACGCATGATTCACTTGGGGCTCCAAATTATAGGAATAACTAAATACTTAAAACATTATATATTAATTGACTACTTTATATTATATTGATGTGAAAAATTATGGGTCAAATAGACTCCGAGCATACTAAACTAAAACAAACAATTAAATAGTGGTGGATTCGGTTCGGGCCACCCGGCCCGGCCCGCTACTGAGCGGTCCAAGATCAGGTGTTTACCCGAACCGGGGGTGCAGCGGGGGGTGGGCTCGGTTTCGATAAAAGGTGACCCGACCGGGTCGGGTCCGGGTCACAACGGCTAAATTTAAAAAAAATAAATCTTTTTTGGCCAAAACAGCCGTTTGGCTGGGCACCCACTTCCCAAATGGCTATATAGTCGTTGGGTGGGTTGTAGGGGGTCCGGGCCATTTGTGGGTGGGTGGGGGTAAAAAAAAACACTATAAATACTCCTAATTTTAAACATTTTCCACACTTCTTCTCCAACTCTTCCTATATCTTACTCTTTACTCTCTGATCATCTCCATCTTCATCTTCTCAAATTCTCTTATTCTCCATTATATTTTATTTTACTATTTAATACTTATACAATTATTATATCTACTTATATATTAATTATCTACTTATAAATACATATACTATATTACTTATATTTCTTATCTACTTAATCTCTACTTATTATCTACTTATATCTACTTAATATATACTTTATATATTAAAGTATTAAATATAAGTGTATTACTCATGTTATAGTAGTATACTTATATATTATATACTATAAACATTATATTATATACTACCTCCGTCCCATTTATATTGGGACGGAAGAGGGTGGCACAGTTATGAAGAAAAGTGGGTTTGTGTGGTTGATATTAATTGATAAAGTAAGAATGATTTAGAGCCACATAAACTTTGCCAAATATGGTATGAGACAATTTAAGTGGGACTTCCCGAAAAGGTAAAACGGGACAATATAAATGGGACGGAGGGAGTATTAGTTATACAATTCTTATATCTACTAATATAGGTGGAATTATATCAAATTAATTCAAACTATATTAATTAGTATATTAAGTATATATATATATATATAGAGTGCTCTTCATGTCAGGCCGGCCTGACGGGCTGCCCCGTCCGGCCGAGCCCGTTTGGGCACCTTCCCGGTGGAATTTTTTGATGAAATTTTTTGAGCATGTTCCTTGTCAAGTCTAGTTTGTCCATACCAAATTTCAGCTCAAAATTCGATCGGGAAGGTCGTCAAATGATTTTTGCAAGTTAACTGGTCCGGAAAATACATATTCCGGACCAGTTAACTCCCGATCGAATTTTGAGCTGAAATTTGGTATGGACAAACTAGACTTGATGAGGAACATGCTCAAAATATTTCATCAAAAAATTCCACCGGGAAGGTGCCCAAACGGGCTCGGCCGGACGGGGCAGCCCGTCAGGCCGGCCTGACATGAACATTCCTCTATATATATATATATATATATATATATATATTCAATTTTTACTAATATATTACTTTTATTACATCTAATTAATATATTAAGTATATATATATATACTTACACAATATATTATATATTTTATATTAGTTACACTTTAATTAATATTAGTTAAAATCATTCTATTACTCATTTACTCCCATTAATTAGTATACACTTTAATACATTTGTCTTATTACTTACATTTTGTATTAACATTACTTGATTAGTTAATTAGTATTTTCACTAATTGTTACATTTTTCATTAAAGTAGTTAATTAGTATTCACATTAATTGCTACTTTTGTCTCTACTTTAAAAAACTAGTTAATTGTCATTATAGTTAAAGTCACATTATAATAGTTTGAATTTATATTTGAAGGAAAAAAGAGTAGTTCTATTAATTTTATTAAAGTACTTAACATTTTATTAAAGTAGTTTTCACTAAATTAAAGTACTTGAAAAGTTGCTATAATTTAATTACTCACATTTTAGTTAAAGTCACACTTGTTAGTTTTAAGTATTTATTAAAAAATACTATTGATTAGTTCGAAGTTAAATTTTTATTTTAGAGTCACACTTTAATTCATTACTTAATTAAAGTAATTCACATTTTATTAAAGTAGTTTTTACTAAATTAGTTTGAAGTATTAATTAAAATAGTTTTAATTAGTTGCATTACTTTTGTACTCATTATTGTATTTGTTGCAAATTAATATTTGTTACATTTTTAAGATGGAAGGTGATAGATATTCGGTTGATATGGGTAACCTCGATCGCAACCGAAGGAACGAGATTGGGAGGAATGGAGATGTGATGTCCGAAGAACAACTACAACAAGAATTGGCTCGACATAATAATCGCTTTCTCCAACAAGAACAAATCCCGACGACCATTGACAAAGATGAGCTCGAGGATGACGATGCGGATGAACTTGAACTGGAGACGGGCGATGGTGACGGCAACCACGACGAGGCGGACGAGCCCACCTCATCCCAACCCGGTAAGAAAAAAAGTAAATCTGAACTAATGAAAAATAATTTTGATTAGTGGAAGGACGCACAAACCGGGTTTTGGTACGCAACTTGCAAGTGGTGCAACAAAAATTATAGCTTGGGGACCTCCGGCGGATATGGATCCGCCGCAAGGCATTAAGGCAAAGCACACCGTGGAGTACGCAAGGCGGCGGAACATGGAAGCAAACTCAAATATCGTGGTTTACGAATTCTCAACCTTTTGGTAATTTCTCATACAATGATGCACAAAATTTGACTGGTACGACTAACTTAATTTGTGAAGAAAATTTGTCTTATATGTTTTCTGAAGGTCTTGCTTTAAGAGATTATGCATGTGGTAGTTTAAATCCTCAATTTAGAGGTTATAGTTGCAAAACCGTTGAGAAAGAAATTATAAGGTTTTCTGGTGCGGAAAAGGCAAGGTTACAAAATTTATTTGCAAACTTTGATGGGCGTGTTACTATTTGTTCTGACATATGGGAGGATGATTTTCATCATGTAAATTATTTGAGTCTGACTGCACATTATATTGATGAGGATTGGAATATGCATAAACGTGTTCTTGCTTTTCGTGAATTTAATGATCGTCACACCGCTGAACATATTTATATTTTGATTGAGCGTATTTTAATCGAGTATAATTTGATTGATAAGGTGTTTGCTATTAGTTTCGATAATGCTACTAATAATACTGCTGCTATACCTAGATTGCGTGAATTGTGTGGTGTCAATAGTTTGATGGGTAAATTTTTTCATCAACGCTGTGCATGTCATGTTATAAATTTATGTGTGCAAGATGGTCTAAAAGCGTTAGAAGATACTATGGAGGTAGTCGGGGGGGGGGGGGGGGGGGTAGACGGTATTTGAGGTAGTGGTCAACTTAGATTAAAATTGCAAAATTATTTGTCTGAAAGAGGTGTGAGATATGTTGTTTTTCCTAAAGATTTGACTATTCGTTGGAATAGTACTTATAAATTACTTAAAGTTGTTCTTAGATATAAAGAACATTTTCCTGCTTTTTTAAAACAACATGATAACTATATTATACACTCGGCTGACATCGACACTTGCGAAAAAATTTATAATGTTTTGATATTTTTTTATGCAAATGAAACTTTTAGTCATGTTTATAAACTATCGCAAATCAATTTATTCGTGAAGCTGTTAATCTCGCCAGTGGTTTTAAAGAATTTGAGAATGCTGTTTACGTGAGTTATTTTTGTGATTTTATGAAGAAAAAGTTTTTAAAATATTATGCACATATTCCGCATATTTATGGTATTGCATTTATTCTCGATCCTCGTTTTAGACTAGCTAATTTGGAAGATTGTTTCAACTTCTATGATCTTACTTTTTTTAGTGAATTTCTAATGTATGACGATAACCTCATAGATCCGAAAATGGAATACAACGAGGTTAGTACTTTATTTTATGTCTTATTTAATGAGTTTCATGCACAATATGGCAACGCGCCCCCTCCCCCGACACGAACATTTTCATCTAAAGGAAAATCAATTTTTAAATCTGTATTTGGCAATCTTATGAAAAAAACTAAAACTACTCACCCTACTGAACAAAGCACAATAAATTAGATTACTTTGTATTTAACCTATGAAGTTGAATTTGAAGAAAATGACGACTTTGACATTCTAAAGTGGTGGAAGTCACCAGAAAGAATGTTCCCGATTTTAGCACGGATGGCTAAGCAAGTGCTACCAATGTCAGTTTCAATAGTTACTGTGGAACAAGAATTTAGTTCGGCCGGCAACGTCCTAACGACATCTAGAACGAGATTGAGCGCAAACTCTCTTGAGACGCTTATATGCTACCACGATAGGTTGAAGCCGCACGTAGAGCTCAAGAAATGAGCATCACCCCCTCCCAAGACTTTATGGATACTCAACAACCGATGGTGACTCTACTTGTGTCGGAGATTCCGATTGATTAATATTTTACAATTTATTATAAATTGCATTTCATGTTTTAATCTTTCCCTCAATTCTCAATTGTAATTTGTAAACCTATACTTCATATTTCAAATAAATATGCGTTCATTTTTGCATACGAAGCACGTCTCAAATTAATTAATTGGTTACAAACTTACCACTTACAATTAATTGTTTTTTATTTACTTGAAAATGTATTTCATATTGTAATTTTTTCTAAATTCTCAAATGTAGTTTCTATTTCAAATAAATACACTTGAACTTTGTTTTTAATAAGCATTTGTATAAACTATAAAGTAGAAAAATAAATTCAACTGACCCGGCCCGGCAGGTGGCCTTACCCGTGACCCGGCCTGAACCGGCACCGGCCATATCACAGGCCGGTCCCAGGCCTCCCTCAAAAAAATTTAGGCCCGACCGGGCCTAGGCCTGGCCCGGGTCCATGACTACAATTAAATGACAATGATCTTGACTCTCTCATATCAAGATTTGAAATTGAGGTTTCAATTATAAAAGTGAGCAGCTCAAAGCTTTGTGTGTTAGCTTAACACTAGAGGAAAGGAACGCTGCTTTCTAGCATTGTTGCATACATACTCCAAGAGTCCAAGACCACAAAATGACAATAATTAGACCATAGCAAATAAACCACACGTTTATGGGTGTGTACGCTGACGATGAAAATAGCCCGTCACTAGGAATGCATAATGAATCCGTTTTACTGTACACATTGAGGATTCCTCCTAGCACAGCCAAAACAAAATGTAAAACAAAAAAAAACTCTATACATATATGGAACTGCAGAGAGATTTTTACATTCCATGTCATCAGCAAAATTCCTACGCCTGAGAGACATTACAATGCCCTTAAAGTGACAGGCTTGATCTTCCATATGAGTATGTCAATCATCATCAGAGAGACAGACCACATCAGCAACCGCACTCACTTGCGGTGCAGAGGTACCCGTTGTTGGCTCAAACTCAGATAGGTCTACCAAATCAAATGCAACACCAATTTCCGGTAAAGGGGGCAGTGAAGCGTTATTAGGCAAGACCGTATTATTGGCTTCCGTGTTCTTATGTCCAGCTGTCAGTTGTGGATGCAGGGGGGTGGGTCCCGTCTTTTGAGGTGGTTGAGAAGACACTGCCTGTGGCGGCTGAGGTGGCATCTGGGGGAAGGATGGTACAGACGGAGCAGTACTTGGGAGGGATATAGGTCTGAACAATTGAAGATGTGGGGCCGGGGTACGAATACTTCCAGGGGCAGGGGATACATCACCAACAAATGGCGGTCGGTTGGGGACTGCAGATAGTGGGCCAGAAGAAAATGCAATACTAGCGGAGGGGGTGGATCTGGAGGTGGGTGAGGGGTTAGTATGATATGTCCTGGAAGGATGCGGGGTGGAAGAAGCCTGATGGTGGTTAGCTATAGAGTGCTGGCCAGGTGAAGAAAAACCTGGTGGTGGCCTAAGAGAAGAAACTGTTGGACTAGGAGTATGAAGTGAAGGTGGAGAAAATGCAGTTCTCAATGGGGGCAGCATAGGTACATGCTGTACATAACCAGGATGTACAGCTGCAGGCGAAGAAATAGTATTTTCACTTCTAACTGCACATAGAACAATTAACACAAAAGTATGAGTAATTATATAATAATAATAACAATAACAATAATAATAATAATAATAAAGTATGAGTAATTATATAATAATAATACTAGTTAATAGTAGTAGCAGTAGTAGTAATAATATTAATAATAATAAGGTAAAAGAGACAAATAGATCCTTCTACAAGCTCCAATGCATCACTTAAGCCCATGTACCAAAAAAGTATCATATAAGTACGCTTGCTTTAAAAAATCGACCAATCTGGTTTTTAAACAGTTTTCAGTTTTTGACTTCTAGTCTAGTTGTAATAGCAGGTTTTTTATATTTAAAACATTAAAATTTTGTTAGAATTTGAAGAAATATAAATAAAAGGTGTGGGTGGTTTAAGAATGTCAAAGTCTATAGTTTTGCATTTTTGGAACTATTTGTATATTCTACATCTTTTTAAAAGTTACTCCGTATTAAATTTTAATTTTATATTTTTTTGACTTTCACTTTATGTTTTTCATTTTTCTATTTTTTATTTTAATGTGTTAAAATAATTTATTTGTTTTTGAACTTATACTATTTTTTATATTATTATTAAATTACTTTTCAAATTTTTATGATTTTTTATAATATTAATCAATTGTTTTAATTATTTTTAAAAAAAAACCGCTATAGCAGATTAGAATGACTTGATTGACTGTATTTTTAAAGGAGTAAAGGGTCAGTTTGGTCCTCGAAGTTGCAAAAAAGACGTCAAATAAGTCCTTATATAGAAGATTCTGTCCGGACGTGCCATTTGAGGTGGCTCCCGGTGGAATTTTGTGATAATTTTTTTTGAGCATCTTATTCATCAAGTCTAGTTTACTCATACCAAATTTCAGCTAAAAATTCAATCGGGAAGACATTCAAATGAATTCTTGAAGATAACCGCGCTTTTAACGGCACAGTTATCTTCAAGAATTCATTTGAATGTCTTCCCCATTGAATTTTTATCTGAAATTTGGTATGAGTAAACTAGACTTAATGAATAAGATGCTCAAAAAATTGCATCAAAAAATTCCACCGGGAGCCACCTCAAATGGCACGTCCGGACAGAATCTTCTATATAAGGACTTATTTAACCCCTTTTTTGCAACTTCAAGGACCAAACTGACCCTTATCCCATTTTTAAAGTAAACATACTTATAGGATACTTTTTTTAGTATAAGGACTTAATGATGGATTGGAAATAGTAGAAAGGTCTATTTAACGGTTTTAACCCGTTTCCCTAATAATAATAATGATGATAATAATAGTAATACTAGTAAGAAGAATAAATACGAACAATAACAGCATACCTTGCTGCATTTGGGGAAGCGCCGCCGACCACCGGGGTTCCAAACACTTCGATCTGTAAGCTTCAGCCAATATCTTGTGCCTAAGAACTTTGCTTTGATTTGCTTCTAGTTCACTTTTCCTCTTTAACAGAGCTGCTTCACCGTCCATTATTTTGGCCTCATATTTTTTACAAATTTGTGCAACCACTTCCTTTATTTCATTCTCACACTCAGATCTCTGTTGCACCTTCTGGTAAAACATGAGATAAAGTGTGTTATAAGACTGAGCAGAACAGCATGAAAGAGAACACACTAATGAGCAATGAATTAGAAAGAAAAAAAAGAGGGAACTGATGGGGCAGTAAAGATAACAGGGAGGATATGCACAAGAAAGAGGAGTGGGGGGATACGATTTCTTAAAATTCAAAAAATTAGTCTGAGATAAATGTTCAAACTCTTTCAATTTAAATATTTCTGTCACACAAAAACTGACAAATAAATAAAGAAGTAAATTTCAAAAAGTTCTAATCACATTTGACTTTCGTTTCTAAGTTCTAATCAAAATTCAAAAAGTTCTAAATAAAGAAGTAAATGTTTTTACTTGGACATAAATACTATTGGTATGTGCTCTGGATTTTTCCATTATATCTGGTCTAGATTGTTCTCTTTACTATATTAATTTCTTTCAGTTCGTTTTGGTCTTATATGATGTGCATTTTGCTACTATCTTAGACTAATCTGGCCTGATGTAGTTTAATCTGTTCTATTTAAGTCTATTCTTGTCTTAATTCTATCTAGCCTGAAGCTGAAATTGTGAAAACATCCCAAATATCATAAATCAATTTTCTCTTGGTACTTCATTTTCCTTCACTGTCTTCTTAGTTCTACACATAGCCCAATATATTAGAGCATTACCCAATCTTCATGGGACTTCACGGCTACTTCTATTTCATTACGTAACCTTTCCAATTCCTTGGAAAGAGGATTAAATGGAACACGGCCTGGGGGGTTTACTGGAGTCAAAAAATGGGGAAGATGAGACATTCGGACATTATTAGGTCCCGGAATAGAGGTCATATTAGAAGGTTGCACATTTGCTTGGTTAGGAAGATCTCTTGTGACCCTCGCTTCACGGGGGGGAATAGTAATCTGAGGTATGCTGCGTCGTTCACCACCTGGCTGGGATCTTGTTCTATTCACTTCTAAATCTGTTTGACTCTGATAAAGTGTCACGTTAGAAGAAGGCTCAGAGCCATGTGAATCATTGTTTTCTCTATTGAGAGGAAGTTGATCAGATCTATTAATGACCCTCACTTCACGTGGGGGGATAGTGATCTGAGGTGTGCAGTGTCGTTCCCTACTTGGAAGTTGATCAGATCTATTAGTGTCCCATCTTGTGCTATTCGCTTCTAAATTTGTTTGACTCTGGTGAAGCGTCACATTAGAAGAAGGCTCGGAGCAATGTGAATCCTTGTTTTCCCGATTGAGAGGAAGTTGATCAGATCTATTAGTGAGGCCACCAGAAGGTGGTAGCTGTGGCTCCCTGTTTCCGGACAGTGAGGATTCACAACTCCACAGCATAAGTGGTCTCCCAGCATCCAATAGGGGAGGTGCAGCTTCAGATTCTGATATATTGCCATGATTGCATTGTGATTCAATAGATGCTGAAAGCTGGCAAGATTGATCATAAGGCACCTGATCCTGCAAGTCATCGATCACAAAATAGTTCTGAGACAGCATTCTTTTATATAATAACTCATTGCAAGAGGCAAATAGTCGGATATATAATCATGTGGTACATACTCTGACTGCTCAGCAAGCATAAAAGTCCCCCCCCCACCCCACCCCAATAAAAAAAGCAACGAGACGAGGTAAACAATATTCTATGACAAAAGGTGTACCCAACTTGCCACTATAGAAGGTTATTGTTCGGGGATGTGCATTATAGAAGGTTATTGTATAGGGAAAACTGTCAAATAGGTCTTCGAACTTTCATAAAAAGGTCAAATAAGTCCTTATATAGGAGGCTCTGTCCGGCTGTCGCGATTTGGGGCGGTTCCCGGTGGAATTTTTTGATGAAAATTTTTGAACATCTTATTCATCAAGTCTAGTTTACTCATACCAAATTTCAGCTAAAACTTTAATCGGGAACACTTTCAATGTGCTTTCTAGAATGTTCAAATGCAAAAACTGTAGAAA